AAATGTTTTGTTATTATAGTAATCTGAACAGATTAACTGCATTTACTCTATTAATTATTTTGTTTTATAGTTGAAATAGGAACTGCACACACATTCACAAATGGACTAAAAAGGTTATTTAGTTCCATTTTAGCGTTTTGTAAGCACCTGTAGTCTCTGCAGAAAAGCTGTTGCATAACTTATTATAGAGATACTCCGTAGGAAATTACAACATATATTCACCTACCTTCTGAAGCTGTAGCAAAGCAGGGAAAAGTATTTTTCCTCTTTCTCAGTGAAAGAGGCCTATTATTGCTATAGAAAACTGTGTATATCATAGTAGTAACTTTATATGGCAGTGCCAATTATGTCATGCAGTCAAATTGCGTATGTACTATGGAGTGAATAAACTTGAAGATGGAAAATTATAATGAAAAAAGAATCTAATCAAACGGCTTAATTTACCCAGCTGGCAGAAAAGGGAAAAAGTCAAGGATGAATAAAGCAAACGTAGCTTTAGATTTTATGCCACTCAAAACTTATCTAAAATATGTTTATTTTTCATAATCTTGCTGGCATCATGCAAAGAAGTGCTTCATATTTTAAATCACTTTATTTAACAATGTGTCACTAGGTAGGGCTTTACTCTTTCCTAGAGAGGTAAATTCAAGATTAAATTATACACACTGTACAGTTATACTGAAAAAGCCAAGAATACTGAAAAATGAGTGGGTGATTCAGCCTTTATTGTACATCAAATCAGCCTTCTTTATGAGAGGTTTTCCTGCATAAAACTTTACGAAATGCTGACCTCAGAGCTATATCTATAGAAGAAGATACATTTTTAAAATATACTAGTTTATCATAACCTTACACAAAAATTGCAACAACAGTGAATCATACAGTACAGTTTCTTCAGATGTATTAATCTAATAGTTCTCAGGCTTTCTTATTGGGCTTCCCTGGGGCTATAATAAGTGTAAGATTTCATCTGAATGGACTGAATTGAAGAAAGAGGATAGCTAATTGAAACTAAATTGAATTATAGTTTCTAGTTTTCCCCTCTATTACTCCTCTTTATTAGATAAACTAAAATCAGGTATCTGTTAGGAACCATTTCAGTTAGGGTCTTGATTATCGAAAACTTAACATTGACATGAAATAAATCTACACAAGTGAAGAAAACAAAATCTTAAAATCCCCCTTGGATTTTAAAACAGGACAATCAACTCCTTGAAGGGATCTTTCATTTTATTTAATTATAGATTAAATACTCCTCATTAGACCATGCTAAATCAGTCCTAAACAATTCTTCTCTCTTTCCTCCTACAGGGAACTTAATGGAAAGATGCAGGTTGATATTCAAAGGGAAATTTAAAATACTTGTATATGTAGCGACTCTTTCTATTTACTAAGGTAATGAAGCTTCTCTCTTTTTTCCCCTAGATATATGTTACCATCCCTTTTAGTGTGTAGATTCAATTGCCTATTGCAATAGTATGCACCAGGTTTGTATGATCTACAGCTACACCATTAGCCCAGTGGTAGTAGCAGTAACTCTTTGGATGACATACCACTTTTAATACATGCTGATTAACTCACATTATGATATCTCAAACAGCACAGGCTCAGCTGGAAGTGCAATAATTCATTTGAATTAGTAAGTGGCTTTGTGTGAGTCTGACTGAGGCCACTTTAGTTGTTAACAGAAGGGTCACTAAACCAAAGGAGTAAAATTCCCAAGACATATTATTGTGACTATGTTGCTCTTAATATCTATCCTCACTGAGCTTTCTACCTATATCACATGTTGAAGACGTGAAGCCTAGTCCTCCTCCTTCAGCCAGAACAATCCCCATATGGAACTCAAAGGAAATTCTGTTCATGTATTGATGTACAGTTACTCCACTGTCTGGAAGACTAGTTTTAAAATGGGAAGAGATGTAGAATATACCATGGTGAGGAGATAGGAAGTTAGAAAAATTACATACAAACTTCACTGCTTCCTTTCTCTGTTTCCTGTTTTTCTTTTTTTTCCTTTCTTACCTTTTGTAAGATTCATAGCTGCTAAAAATGTAAAATGGAAAAAGAGAAAAGTAGTGCACTGGAATCGATGGCTTAGTATGAACTGTGGCTTTATCCCCTCTTCTTCTCCTGCACACTAACAACATAGTGGAGCTTAGATGAGGATGCAAGTTGGCTGCTATATCACCAGCACCATTGGCAAGACTGATGTTTATCTTCTGGGGAGCCCAGATTTTCAGGTAATGCCTAGCCATAAAGCCGGACTGAGAGAAGTTGGAACGCGGGAGAGGGGCTAAGAGATAAGAGGTGATTTAATAAATTCATTTTAGGTTCTCTCTTTACAGGGGTCAGACAGAACCAGGATGAGCTGTCTTGGAATGCAAACATGGAGGAAACAGTTGAAGTATATTGTTATATTCAGAGGAGTTTAGGGTACAGGTATTTAGGGCAGATTAAAGAATGAGAATATGTCACAGGTGGTAAGTGAAAGTGCCAAATAATCTTAGAAAGGAAAAGCAAGAGCTCACTAAAAAGTTTGAGAACTTTTGGTTTATAACAAAGACATTTCTGATTTATATCAGCGTGATAAGCACATTAGGCTCAGTATCTTCAAAATGAATAACAGAAGATGTTCATATAAGTCTGACAGAAACAGCAACGTGATCTCTTTGGGAAGGCAGATTATCTACTAAACAATGTCACCTTCCTGAAAACTAAGAGTTCAGTACTGCTGGTCTGCTGAACAGTTCTTTGCTTACATAATGTCTACTGGTAGTTCCTCTGCAGAAGTACCCCTACATGAAGATAGGGCAGTAAGTAAGTAGAGATGAAAAGAGAAACCTGACTGGAAGTTATGCTGGGCAGCTGGAAGATGCTGTAACAGTTGTGTTACACTGCAAAGAAGGGTAAGCAGTATGTCTATTTCCAATCTGGAAAAACCTGAGAGCTCACCTTGCAGCAGGTGAGATCTTAAAAGAGGGAGTGGAATGTTCCTGAAGCTAAACTGAATGATTTCCCAACTCTGATCCTAACAAAACTATAACAAGACGCCACTAGAATAACACACTATGATCAAAGTTTAACAATTACTTTAGAAGTCATGCTGGAGTTTTACTCAGATTTTCCATATATCAAAAACAATACATAACATTTTGGTAGAATGTTATCAAATAATTAAAATATATAATTATACATAAAATACATAATTAATAAGTGAAGGACATAATGATAAGTGATTTTTTGAATGACTGTGATAGCTTAAAAAAAGGATCTCAGTATGATTGCTAATGGCACTTACATATTTAATTATCCATATGTTCTGCTGACAGTTTTCTCATATCTTCCTGCAACTACTTTACATCAAATACAAGTCTTGACATATGCCTTATCCACAATGATATCCATTTTAGGATAGAAATGCAAATTGTAAAAGTTCTTCAAAAAAGTTGGGGGACTACAGTAGCTGCATTCAGCACTTCCCCTCCTAGCCTTTTGGTTTTAATGGTGTACTGGAAAGGGGAAATGACAGTTGTTCCACTTGTTGAGAATAACTCACTCTTGGGAAGTACCTTTATTTTTAAGAAAGAAATAGGTCTCATGAAAAAATGTTTCACTCATTCAGAAGCAAAAATTCTCTGTACGCAGAGCAGGTAGTACACCATGAATGCTCTGTTTATAGTCTTTTCAAAAAATCCTATGCTTCTTTCTGTTGGATCAGGTTCTCAGATAAAAAAAACTGTCAACTAGCACATCTAGGATAGGGACCTTAATGGCATGTTCTATTGTTCCTCACGTCAAATTAATTTATCTCTCAAAGACTGAAAAGGTAGGAATTAAGTGTTTTCTATCAGTGGCCTGAGTTTGTATTAGCAAGCTAAAATCAGAAGGTCTTGTTCTGCCAGAAATCTTCACATCTACTCATTTCCTGACAAATGCTAATGGATTTTTTAAGGTAAGCATATCTTTGTTCTTCTGAAAGAATTTTTTCCCTGATACAGGCAGGAAAACCACAAATATATCTATCAAAGAAAATGTCAAAATATGGCCCAGTACTTTGAATTGCTATCTTGCGAAAAGGAAGGATACGTATTTTGCAAAGATTATGTGGCAACAATTCCTTTTAACTCTACTGTATTCAGAATCATATACCTATCTGTACTTGTATGTTTATTTGAGGATTTCAGTTACTATTTACAGAAGCTCCTAGAACATCAGAGGTGCAGATGAGTTTTTTAATTGCTTCTGTTTTAATAGTCCTGACCACTATTGCAATTCTTTATAAATATAAACACTAAAGCATATTAATTACAGTGCTTCTAAGTACAGGAGTCAGCATAAAATTTAAGCCATTCAAAATACATTCACAGACATTATACAGATATTTTCATTGGTCTGTTCTTTGTAGAGGAAAGAAATAAGTAATTCAGGTCTTGTAAGAATAGCTGATCTGTGCATGTTCAAAGAATTATTCCATTTCCATTTCTATTTATTCTTCCCCATATTTTTACAGAGTCTCATTTTAACTATCTGCAGCATATTACAATTCATTAGGGAAAGCACACATTTGATGGTTTTGTCAATACCTCAAAAAAACCTCCACACAAATAACTTAGCATTTCAGTTATTCAGTTGCATATTATAAGTCAGGGCTTAATAAGAAAAGTCACTCTACGTAGCATTCCATGCTCCTAAAGTGTTTACCATTTACTAGAACAGATGATTTATTTATCTGAGATTTTACAAAGTTGGCTTTAGCTTCTTTGTCCCGTAAAGAAGTATATTTGTGAGACCTTCCTGTGTAATACTTCAGATGAAACAGTCTATCTTACTGAATGTGCATGCTTATTGAAAGTTAGCATCCACGATATTTTATAATCAGAGGAAGATACTACTGCGATAGCAAATCACATTGCAATTCTTGTTGAAAGAAAAAAATATTTTCAGTGCTATTTTCACATGGCATAAACCTCTATGTACAGAAAACATTGTGTTATTACCTGTATTTATTTATTCCATCTTCACATGTGGCTCCATGTTGGCACTGGTTGACCTCACAGTCATTAATATTCTCCAGGCATGTTTGCCCAGTCCATCCAGGAGCACAGACACAGTGAGATCTCTGATTCTCTTCATCATGGAAGCAGCTACCTCCATTTGCACATGCCTGAAGGTGAGAATTATACATATGTGAGGATAAACTTTTATCTCTACATCTTGTTCTTTTTCTTCCTAAGGAGTTTAATCGAACAAATCAAAGGTGATAAATGGGGATACTTAATGTTTTTTTCTGGTAATATTATAAAAGACATATCCAAGAATGTAAAATACTGGATCTCATTAAATCAATATTTCAACCTGTTTTTTAATAGGAAGAAGTAATTCATGATGCAATTTAACAATGACATTTGTCATAATTGGCTTTAAAATATGCTTATTTTAGGATCAGTTATACTGATCTAGATTGTTATGTTTCCATTAGAAAAATGATAGAGTAGAACAACTGTCCCACTGCTTTTAAAATCTAGGTATAATTTAATTTAATTGGTGTTAGGCAAGAAATACTGATTAATTTTAAAATTCTAATCATGATTCTGATTTACCACATATCCAGATCTGAATTCTTTGTATTCTAATGTATATATTACATCTATGCTCTAAGAAAACCAGGGCCTTCTTTTTTTCAGCCTGCAGATATTGAAAAATTAATATATCTAGACAGGAAAAGTATTTTTTCTTTTCGTTTGTATTTGATAACATTACTTACCAAAACAATTTTCATGTGTGTTTCAAAAGTTACAGAAAGTTCAAAGCAGGACTGCACCCTTTTTTGGTTCTGTATTGTACTTATAAGTTCCATTTGCATTTCCATGAAAATTTTGCCAGTGTAAAAATGGATAAGTACATTTTCATTTCAACGCAATTAAGATCTCTCCTTCTAATCAATTGGTTTCTAAAGAAAATGGTGTATAGAAAATGAGCTAATGCACTAGTACTTCATTTTGATTGAGTCTGAATCTCTTTAAAATGTCATTAAAATTTGTAATAACAGTTCTTGCCAGAAATCCTCTAATATTCATTTGTCTTTGATTAAGTTTTAAATTGACCTTAAAATTGAAAGTTTTTGCTATGCTCTCAGTAAAAAATTTTAGAATTATCTCGGGGTCCTTTCCCAGTAGGACATCATCTTTAAGAAAAGAACTGCTCAACATAAATTCAGAGAAAGCTCCTGCGCATATAATTTTGGAAATGTTCCCTTTTTTAATTTTTATGTATCTATCTTTTTACCTTCTTATTTAATCATTTCTCAGAGATTTTGTCTGGAGGCTTACTGTTTTCTCAGGATTCAAATAAACTAAAGAAGTTTATACTCAGAAAGAGGTAAAACTGGTTTAGTTGCCTAATATTCTTTTATTGAGCTATTTTACGTGTTGATTTTTCTATGTGCCTGATCTGGAATATTAATATTTACTTTCACAGCCTGTGAAATATGGGATGTGAGCAAAATTAAGCTCTGATGTGGGTACATTCAACTCCCACAGGTTTAACTGTGAGTTGTTTTTACTTATGCATGGATTGGATATGGTCTTACAAGACTTCATCCACGTCCAAGGCATGATCCTATAAATTTATGCATCATAAATTTATAAGATCTGAGTGCAGGACTGCAGGACTGGGACCTGTGAGAAGTTAAACAGCAGAACCAAATCACAAACATGTGAACAGTGTTTTTAAGTCCTAAAGATATTTTTTTCGGGTGTATCACAAAGCTGGGCCTTGTACTAACAGATTCTTAACACAATTCATCTAGAAAAACATTACAGAACTGAAACTGAAGTTGTATTTCAGTATTACCACATTATGATATTATATTCTTATGTTGTGCTAATGCTTTCTACTTTAAAGAAATATGTTATCCTTTAAGATGTCAGTGCAATCCCAAGCAACTGTAAATGTTAATTAAAACTATGGAAGACATTTTCATAGACATCAGATCAAATTAGAGGTATTCTTCATCAGGTAGATTTTTAGCTCTCCTGCAAATTAATTCCCTGTAAGTTTAAATGTTGGAAACCCTGAGTTAGAAAGATAAAGAATTTTATAAGAAATTAAGGCTAAATGCATTTATTACTGTATTACTAAAATCAAACTAAAGACATCTACATTGTAATTTTCTAAAGTTTCTATCTGTAGATTTGTTTGGCACTTTTTTATATAAGAAATACTTTTAAATTTCTCTTAAAATAAACAGACAAACTGCCTTTTGGAAAGAGTGGCATTCTTCCCTGAAGCAGCTGTTTCTTCTTCCCAAAGAAAATCTTCCTCATGGTTAGGATTAAACAAAAATTAATGATTTAACAGACCATAAATAAAGATAGTACTGGTCAGCCTGAGCATCACACTTCTCTCTACTGCACATACTCTAAAGCAAATGTGGCTTATTACATAGTCATGATAAAACCTGAGAAGAATCACTTCCTTCTAATATCAAATAAGAAATGATGTCACAGTAAGGAAAGATAATTACTTCCTAGACAGTTACAATTTCTTCTTCTCTTTTCTTCACTTTGCAGTAATCAAGGAAAGTGCTATAGGCCTGTCTCTCTTCTTCAGATATTATGTATTGTTCATTGCTGGAGGCAGGAAACTGAGCTAAAAGGATCTCATCCAGTGTAATCATTATTTCATAGCACTTCTTCCAGCTGATTTTTCCTTAAATTCTTTACAGTTTGAATGAAACTGTACTTCTGTTTATATTTCAGACATACTACATTACGACAGACTCCAGGTGTTGTTACTGCAAATCCAATTGTATCTGGATATTCAAAATCTTCCAAATCTGTAATTTCAGTTTATCTGCCTTATGTTCTTTCCTGAACTGGTGGTACACTGAGCAAGTAGATAAAATGTTTTTCTTTTAAAAAATAACACCTCACCAAAACAAAAAAAATTAGATGCTCAAGAAATATTTGCTGGAAAGATCAGAATAAATTATGAAAATCAGAAATGGAAAAGTATCATGGGTACTAAACACTTTATTTAATTTAACTGCTTGCAAATTTAAATTATACCTACATTTTAGATGCTGTTGAATAATTTCTTGTGGAGTAAGTGCTTGAGTTCCTTACATTGTCTCTGAGTAGAATCTGATGCTTTTGATGGCCTCTAGAGTATGAGTCCTTATTTAGGTAGACTCAATTTCATTATGTTTCCTTTTATTCTATTCTGCTACTCTTGCTCCCAGCAATGAAGTATTATTTGATCCAATCTTTAGGTGCATTAGGTACTCTTAACTCAGTTTCTAAAAAGTACATAGAGAATTATAAACAAAATACATTTTTACAGAGGGCTGTATTGCTTAGTATCCAAAACCACCTGCAGTGCCTACTGGCACTATTAATTGATGAGTCATTGATTTTCTTAATATGGAGACTGAGCGTATGCTACAACCCAAAGTTGCAAGAACATTATCTGTCCTTTGCAAAATGTACGCACTGAATTCCATTCTACCTTTCCAAATCATTTCTCCAGTTTCCTAGTATCACTTTGCATTCTAGCATTTTAATGTCAGAAGCTGGTCTCAGATTCAGTTTTATTAAGTGTAATCTATTCCATCATTCAGAAAGAAAATACGGAATGAAAATGGAAGCAGGTCAGGCCCTTGTAGAAGACTACTTAATACATCCTTCCCTTGGGCCAGGAAACTACTGTTAAATAGGGAGTATGATTATCTTAGCTGCTCTGCATCATGCCAGAACAGATGCATTGCTTCACTGGCTTGCTTATAAGAATACTGTGTGAGAAGCCGCTATCTCTCAACTTTTGCAAAAGCTTTTCACTTTTCTTACTTTTATTCTTGTCATAGACAGAAATTAAATTAGCTCAAAATGATTCGCTCCTGGCAGTTCTTGGCCACCACCCCTCCCTTTCCTTTCTTTTACTTTCTTGTAAATAACATTTTTGGTACCTATTTGCTTCAGAAGTTATAAATGGATTGATTATCATTCCAGTTTCCTTTAAATAAGTAAAGAAGGTATTTATTTCTGAACATATGTATGTATATATGCATTTTAGATATATAAGTAATGTTTGCCTTTTCCTAATTTTCCTATCTCAATTACCTTGTGTAAGTAAGTTCTCAAAGACCAACAATTAGCAATTCAAGGACTACCTCCACCAATTTTTAGGATGAAGTTCCCTAGAACAATCTTCTACTAAATCATAAAAGTATCCTCCCTCTTGTCTGAATGTTGAAGTTTACCTTAAACCAATAAGGAATGTCTTGAAAACGCAGTCAAGATTTGAGGTTAAGTCTCTCTTTGGGCATAAGTTCACTAAACTTAATGACAAAAATACACACTTGCACACACAAATTGTTTCCATTAAATCATATCAAACCTGTTTAACTCAAACGATCAACGTAGTATCTGCAATATGTCAGAACTGCAAAGCCAATCTCTAATCTAAAAGTCAAGCTCTGTTTTTCTGGCACATGCAACACCAGTAACAAAGATTTGCTGAGAAGAGAATTATTTGCAGGGACGGCTTGGAGGTTAATTGGAAAAGTTTTATTGATAAATATGTAGCTTTCAAGATTTTTAATTGCTTCTTTCCTCCTTCACTTCGTAATTCAAAAGAAATGCATAGTAGAAAGCTTCATACCTATTTTACATTTGGTCACTATTAAGAGCAAATAAATAGAGGTTTTCCATCCACCTTGGACTAGAAAAGATTTTAGCTTCAAAAGGCAAAGTACTAAGTGTCATTTACATGAAATCATCTTTTTATTACATTTAAGTTAATTAAATTGCATTGTCAGAGGCCTTACATTAAATAACAAATAAGTCCTAAAGCTATACTTTTTATTTCTCTAAATTATCACCTCCATTAATGACCTCACAAATATAATGGTTTGTAGCATTTTTCAATAAAACCAGCTATGACAACTCAGAAGTACATCTTCATAAACTGCTACAGTAGAAAGAACGGAAAATATTAATGCAATCATCTCTAACGCAGTATATTATATCAAGTGCAAAGAAAACAACACGAGCATCCATACTTTATTTATACCACTGTTGAAAGATTGATGTGACTGCCTCACTTTTACAGATCAGGAAATTGTGCCCCAGAGTTTGCATGAAGTAGCACAGCATGCTAATACCA